CAACACGTGCTGTTGTCCTTTGGTCTTTTTGAAAGCGTGCCAGTAAAGGAACACGTTTTCCTTCCCAAGGCGTACGCATTTAAGAGCTAGGGTTGTTTCCTTTTTGCATTTTGCATACGAAACATATTGTAAGGGCCTGCTAGCTTTACTATAGGCCCTGAACATGACTTTTCTTCCTTGCTTTCTTTCTGTTTTCAAATGAGCATGTCCAGAAATTGAGATTGTTGCAGGCAGAAGTCGTCACTCCCTGCTCACAAGAATGAATTTGAAACCCCCCTGGGACAGACAAGGGTGTCGAAGGTTAATTGTTGTTTCTATATAGGTATCAATTTTCTTTTCAGAAGGCTATCCAGTGGGATTTACCACTTGTCAGTTTGTCTAAAAACTAGCTAAACGTGTGGTGGGGGCAGGGGAAGGCCTGGTTTGGTTTCAATGTAGTTGATCCTTCAGCTTGGGTTTGAAGGGGGTGGACAACTTCTGGCCTTTCCAATTACTAAATAGCTGACTGCACAGTTTTGGAGAGGTCTTTTGTTGTTGCTTTCATTTAAAAACTGGGAAATGTAGTGCTAAGACCGCAAGGACACAATCTGTGCCCAACTTGTGGCATTGCTGTGCTTCAGTGCTTCTTTCAGAAAGCAGTGTTCACAATAACAAGCAGTAACTTTCAAAGCAGATTAGACAATAAACTAACTTTAAATAAACAATAACTTTCAAAGCAGATTAAATGATAAAAGGAAACCAAGATAACACCGAAAGCAACGAGGCCAATGTCAAAAAAGCATCCAGTCATGAAGTAGTTAAAGCTTTTAGTAATGCAGAAAATAATGGTTAAGGTGAGTGCAAAACAAACATTAGTGTCAGCTAAGAAAGCAATACCAAAGTCCATTTTGAAACTCAGCCTTACTGATCAGGAGGGTCCAGGGTATTGAGACCAAGGGAATGGCTTGAATCAAGGAACTTGGCTTTGTCTTACCACCAGGGCTCAGAAGCTGTGTTGTTGTCAGGTGCTGTTACCTTATTCCAACGCAAAGCAACCCTTCATCCAACAAAACAAATCCCTGCCTAGAGCTGTGCCATCGTCATAAGAATGTTAGGTTTGGGTGGACTCTTGCAAACACTGTGACAATCCATCTCTCCAGGGAGGCGGTGGGTGGGGTAGGGGTGTCTCTGTTTCACTGACCCTCTGCTTTAGTAAGCATCATATCCAGCATTATTGTAGTAAGCATTATTTTCCAGCAACTGGTCTCTCCTGACAACATGTCCAAAGTGTGTGAGAGCAAGTCTTGTCATCTTTGATTCTAAGAAGCATTCTTGCTGCTACTTCTTCCAAGACACATCTGTTCCTTCTCCAGACAGTTTATGGTATATCCATGATTCTTTTCAAACATCATAATTCAAATGCATTAGTTCTGGTCACCCTTATTCATTGTCCTGCTTTTGCCTGTTATGAGACTGTTGAAAATACCGTGGCTCAGGATCAGGTATACCCTAGTTTTCAAAGTGGCATATTTTCTTTTTATGCAATGCAGCTTTTGATATCTGTTTTGCTACTTCCACAGATGTTGACTGTAGAACCAAATAAAATGATACCCTTAAGTAGATTCATCATGATATTGTTTATTGATCCAGTTGTGAGGATTTTTTTAAGAGGCCGTGTAACTAACATAGGACAAGTTACTTAACTTCTCTGAATCTTAATTTCCTGACAATGTAAAATGAGGATGGTCAAACCAGCTATGATGCAGAGCTCTTGCGAAAATTAAATGAAGTCTTAGTTCTAACATGGTTTTGCATCCAGGAAAATTCTGTAGGATCATTATTGCGTTAAGATAAATCATTGAATACTCTTCTTTTTTAAAATACTTTTGTTGGGGGCTCTTACATCTCTTATCATAATCCATACATTCCTCCAATGTGTCAAGCACATTTGTAAATATGCTGCCATCCTCATTTTCAAAGCGTTCTCTTCCAATTTGAGCCCCTGATAACAGTTCCCCATTTCTACCCTCTCCCTCCTCCACCTACCCTCATTCACAAACCCTTGATAAGTTATAGATTATTTTTTCCATATTTTACATCATCCTCCATTGACCCTCACCCACTTTTCCATTATTCGACCCCTTGAGAGAGGCTTCTAGGTTGATCCTTGTGATCGATTTCCCCTTTCTCCCCTGACCCTCCCCTAATCCTCCTGGTATCTCTACTCCTCTTGTTGACCCTCAGGGATTTTTCTATCCTGGATTCCCTGTGTTGTGGGCTCTTATCTGTAGCAGTGTGCATGCTCTGGTCTAATCCAACTTGTAAGGTAGAATTGAGGTCATGATAGTGGGGTGAAGGAAGCACCAAAGAGCTAGAGAAAACATGTGTGTTTCATCGATGCTATCCTGTACCCTGACTTGTACTCTTCCCTGTGACCCCTCTGTGAGGGTATGTCCAATTGTCTACAAATGGGCATTGGGTCTCTACTCCATGCCCCCCCACCCCCGCCCCCATTCACCTTGGGTGTGGTTTTATTCGGGGTATTAGATGCCTGATACATGATCCCATCAACACCTCATGGTCATGCAGGCTGGTGTGCTTCTTCCATGTGGGCTTGGTTGCTTCTCAGCTAGATGGGCGCTTGCTTATCTTCAAGCCTTTAAGACCCAGATGCTATATATTTTGATAGCCGGGCTCCATTAGCTTTCTTCACCACATTTGCTTATGCACACATTTTGTCTTCAGTGATCGTGTTGGGAAGGTGAGCGTCACAGAATGCCTGTATTTAGACCTCTATAAATGTCCTTTGCCTCCTGGTTCTTTCTTCTATTTCCTTTTTACTTCCCTCTTGTCCCACCAGCATGTTTGGCCTTCATTCAGGTTTAGTAATTCCTTCCTGATACATTGACCTTGATTGAGTTCCACCAGGCATCCTACGACCTTCCTTCCATTGATTATAGTTCACTTGTTGTTCCCTTGTCCCTGGGTTGGTTCCCCCCCCCCCACACACACACACACACTTTTTACCTCCCACCTCCTCTTCTCCTGTCTGCCCCCCTCAACCATTGGTCCCCTTCTTTTCGTCTCAGAATTATTTATTCCGCCTATCTTATCTAGATAGATATGCAGATACATTCTGACCCTCTCTTACTCTTAAAGTCATTTATCTAATGAATTAGCCAAAATTACCTGTCACATACATCACCATCTTATGGTATGTTTATCCTTGTTCTTTTAGATTAGGATATTTTCACTAATTAAATGAAAAGAAGTTACTATGTTCCATTTCATAACAAACTTGCCTAAGTCTTCAGAATGATTTTCCCTAGCCCTAAATTGTCTCTACTCTTTAACAATGCATTTGGGTTTGTCTTTTTGTGTGCTGCTCCCCCAATTCCCCCCCCCCCCACACACACACACACACACACACACACGCACGCACACTCATTTGAACAAGAAGTTCCTGGAGATCCTTAAGGGTAGAGGGATTGGGGTTGGAATGTTATTCCCTGTTCATAAATACTTTTCTGTGTGTAAGAAAAGAAGCAATTATTTAGTGAACACTTATTATGTGTTAAGCATTCTACTATACACTCTTTCATTTGATCCTCACTATAGTTAAATCCACTTAGTGTTGTTTATTATCATTGCTGACAAACAAGAAGGTTGTAATCAGATGCACAGAGATGTCATGCTTGGTGTGCCTGTAATGAGTAGAGTAAAATATGAGCCTGTAAGGAGGATGATTAAGGTGTGATTCCTGTGCTTACAGAACTGTCATAGCCCATTGGCAGGATGACAGGAAACAAATTACTAAATCACATGGACTTAAAGGTTCTTCAGAGATAGCACATCCGTCTCCCAACCTATAAAATAGTAGTAATGATATCCTATAAGGGTATGGCTGTGATAAAGAGAAATGGATGTTCAATTATTTAGCAAAGACTGACTCAGGTTAAGTGCTCAGTATATGAAATCTATGATGTTACTGGATAGTCCCTTGACAGGGACTAGAATATAATACTAACAAAGCAACTGAGAGTTAGATTTTGAGAGCCTTGAATGGTAGTCTATTTGGGAAACAGAAAGATTTCTTTCAAGTCGTCTCCCCCAAATATGTTAGACTTAGGACACTGCTTGCAGTTAATAATTGTAAAGACACTTCCCTGAAGCCAGTCAGCTGCCAGACTACTATCTAGTTGCCCCATGGGTAGGCCTGCTCCCTGCTGCTAAGGACAATGGGATATTTCTCCCTAAAGGCTTACAGTCATTGATTTGGTTCCTGTAGGTGGAGTTAACACCCTACTGATAATGGTCTATTGTTGATCCAGGGAACAAGTCAAACTGGCTCAGTGACATCTAAAGTTAGGCTGCCATCCTGAATCTAGGATCCACCCATTTTGCCACATGTATACCCCCAAGCTCTCCTCTTCCTATTGCGGGTCTACCCTTAGATCACCTCCCTCCCATTGCTGTATTACCTATAGCACAACCCTTTCCTGTGACATACGTCTTCACCTGTAATTAGGGGGCTTGTGTGTCCCCAGAGAATATAAAAGCCTTGGTTAGCATTAAATATCTCTCTCTCCACGTGGACCACCAAGTGAAGCTGAGGTGAGCATTGCTACCACGAAATGTGTCTGACTCCATTATTTCAATCTCTCTTTTATCTCTCATGCTCTCTATGATTTTACTATAATCTTTACTTATTATCGCTGTACAATTGTGCCTACCAGACCCGTGATGATGTGTTAGGGACTGGATTCCCCTGACAAGTCTAGAGAGTTTGGACCTTCTATTTGGTAAAAAAAAATATATGTGCCAAGGTCACATTCTGAAAAGTAATCATTCTGAATAGAAATTAAAGCTGATGCCATTTTATATTACCTTTCAAAATATACATTGAGATGGAGTTGGTGTAAGCAGTTGGACTTAGTTGAAAGGGGTTTTTTATTTGATGCACTGAAAAGAAAGATGATATTTTCAAATCTGAAGCCCCCCCCCCTTTTTCCCCCCCACAGTAATTAGCGAACGTCAAAGGCAGCAACTGGAATCCGTGAGCTACTCCTCTCGATACGCACTGGGCCTCTTTTATGAAGCTGGCTCGAAGATTGATGTCCCTTGGGCTGGGCAGTACATCACCAGTAATCCGTGCATATGCTTCATCTCCATTGATAATAAGAAGCGCAATATAGGTCAGTACCCCCATTATTTCCCTTAAATACAGTAACAATGGTGGCGGTAGATCGTGAAAAATGCTGTTTAATTGAGTGTTGCCATTCTGAAAGGAGCAAGCATTTAACTCCCAGCCACAAGGGATAAAACTTAATGTCACATTTGGCCAATAATGAAATACTCACAGTGAAACCAGCAGAGTTTTTCAGAAAATCATTTACCACATGGTTTGTATTACTGAGTTCCTGAAAACAGTGTTAGAAGGTTTAAGATTTCAAACTGGCCCACGTTCGACTTTAATATGGATCCCTCTGTATGTAGACGTGTCTCTTGTGATTCTTTTCTGTGCGGAGTTGGCTTCTTGTTTTATTATGGTTTAATAAATGCTGCTCTTTCTATTTCTCAGGCTAGAAATGAAAAGCAATTTTTTGCTGCTATGAAAAATTATCCACTTGTATATAATCTTGTTTAGATCTCATCTTGAATAATAAGCAAATTATCTTCAGATATCGTGCCATTAAAATGATAGGTAGATTTCTTTTGTCAGAGATTTCTTTACTAAAATGCGATAAAATTTGCACCAACATTTTGTTGAAGATAATTATGATACTGAGGTCTGAATTGCAAGGAAAGCATAACTCTGCTTTATACCAGGCATAAAGGTGAAAGTGTCATCGTATTGGACAGTTGTGGTAATCCCTGAGATACTCTTGTATGCGGAGTAAGCTATAATGATACAAAATGACTAAACGCGTGTAAGGAATTGTCATTTCAATTTTTATGGTGTTTTATGGGGCAGTGATGGTTTCATCAAACCATTAGTTAGAAGTCTTACTTGATAAAATCACTAACTGTTTCTTAACTTGCCAGAACTTCATAATGATAGAACTAGGTTGGAGTATGGTTTTTATATCAGAGCACATGATCTTAGGAAAATGTTTCTTTTATAACTTAAAACTCTCTAAGGGCTGGACTATTTATGTTAACATGATACCACATATATGTACAATCAGCAGTTCATGAAATGAGCTAACCATTATTTTTAACTCTATAAGTGCTTTGTTCTGAGAGAAGGAAAATAGTCTTCTCATAATATATGCCATGAATTAAACATTATATTTTGGATATTTTTTAGTAGATTTTTTATCTGTTAAAATGCATCTATCTGTCGATAACACACACACGAACACTTGCACACATGCACGCCTGAATCTAAACTTGTTTAAACGATAAGAACATTTGTTATATTACCTAAGACGAGATGGAGTGGCCTAGGATTGGTTGATTCGGGAACTGAGAAATATCTTCCAGGGCCCAAGGTTGCTGTTTTTCTCTGCTCTTCGCGATGTTGACATCATTCACAAAGAACTGGGGACAAGATGGCAATATGAATGGTCACATCTAGACCCAATGACAAACCGCCACAGTCCCTTTCTAAGAATCGGGCTGATCTGCCCAGAAGCTCCACCTCTGACTTTCCTTTGATCTCAGAGACCAGATGGGGATCGCTCCACCTGTCCTCAACCAATCACTACCCCTGGGTCAATTCTAACTCACAGCAAAACCCCGATCGGATTTCCAAAGCTCTGTAGGGGAGCAGATAGCTTCATCTTTCTCCTGCAGAACAACTGATGGTTTCAAACTGCTGACCCTGTGGGTTAGCAGCTTAGCACATAACCCACTAACTATGTCACCAGGGCTCCAACAGCATCACCAAGATACTTCTTAATCACTGAGGATAGAAAGATAGCTAATTGAAAAAAAAAGGAAAGCTGTCTCCCTGAAGAAAGAGGTGGGGAGTGGATACTGAGTTGACAACCAATAGTGCCGATTATCTTCATGTAGAATCACAACTTATGTGGGAAGCAATGTTCAAAAGAAGAACCATGCGCTGGATCAAGGGCAATGTAACCGAGAGGAATGCCTAAAACCCAAATGAAGGCAGAACATGATAGTGGGGCAAGAGGAAAGTAAAAAGAAATAGAGGAAAGAACTAGGAGGCAAAGGGTAGTCATAGAGAGGTAAATACAGGTATATAAAGATGTAAATATATTTATATATGACAAGGGGGAAATAGATCTATGTACATATACTTATAGGTTGAATATTAAGAAAACAGATGGACAGTGGGCCCCTGCACAAGTACTCCCCCAACACAAGAATACTTTGTTCTAACAATTTGGCAGTCTGAGATGCTCATCTGCCTGGCACGATCGCTAAAGACAATGGGTGCACAAGAAAATGTGGTGAAGAAAGCAGATGGTGCTTGGCTACCAAAAGATATAACACCTGAAGTCACTGAAGACAATGGGTGCACAAGCAAGTGTGGTAAAGAAAGCTGATGGTGCCCAGCTACCAAAAGATATAGCATCTTAAGCCTTAAAGACCTGAAGATAAACAAGCAGCCATCTAGCTGAGAGACAACAAGACCCACATGGAAGAAAGCACACCAGCCTACCACTACTTGATCACTGAGGACAAAGGGGGTGCATTAGCAAAAGTGGTGAAGAAAGCAGATGGTGCCCGGCTATCAAATGATACAGCATCTGGGGTCTTAAAGGCTTGAAGACAAACAGGCAGCCATCTAGCTAAGAAACAACAAAACCCACAAGGAAGAAGCACACCAGCCTATCCCGACAGGAATGCTGAAGACAAAGCGGGTACATAAGCAAATGCGGTGCAGAAAGCTGATGGTGCCAAGCTGTCAAATTACACAGAATCTGGGGTCCCACAAAAGATAAATAAGGGGCCATCTAACTGAGAAACAACAAAGCCCACATGGAAGAAGCACACCAGCCTGTAAGATGACAAGGTGGCAAAGGAGTCAGGTATTAAGCATCAAAGCCAAAAAAAAAAAATCATAACATTGTGAATGAGGGGGAGTGCAGAGTGGGGACCCAGGGCCCATCCGGGGGACATTGACATCCCCTTGCAGAAGGGCTGTGGGGAGGAGAGGAGCAAATCAGAGTGCAGTGTGGCAACGATGAAATATGCAGTTTTCCTCTAGTTCTTAAATGCTTCCCCCCCCCCCCACTACCATGATCCCAATTCTACCTTACATATCCGGCTGGACCGGAAGATGTACACTGGCACAGATAGGAACTGGAAATACAGTGAACCCAGGACAGATGAACCCCCCAGGACCAGTGGAGAAAGTGGTAATAGCGGGAGGGTGGAGGGAAGGTGAGGGAGAAAGGGGAACAGATGACAAGGTCTACATATGGCTTCCTCCCTGGGGGACGGACAGCGGAAAAGTGGGTGAGGGAGACGTTGGATGGGGTAAGATATGATAAAATAATAATAATTTATAAATTATCAAGGGTTCAGGTGGAGTGCGGAGCAGGGAGGGAGGGGGGAAAACGAGGAGCTGACACCAAGGGCTCAAGTGGAAAGTGGGTGCTATGAGAATGATGAAGTCAACATATGTACTAATGTGCTGGACACAAATGATGTATGTAAGGATTGTGATGAGTTGTATGAGCCCCTAATAAAATGAAAAAAGAAAACCATAAAAAAGAACCATGCATACTCAAAATTACCTGTGAAAAATCCCTTAAAACTGTGTAATATTTTAAAGAGTGACACATCAACTCTCAATATGTTCAGTAAACTGATTTCTTCTATGGTCAGTGGATTTTAGTTTCTTTGAGTAGGCCAGATTTTGAACTTGTTGGTTTGTATTTAGAGGTTGAAATGATATTTTCTATTATCAAAAGCATTTAGGGAGAAAAGAAATAGCAGTGCTGTATCTCCTAACAGATCACATCTCAGCATAAAATCAGAGGTATTAAAGTTAAAAAGAGTATAACAAAAATATCACTAAATTCTCACATTATCTGAAGTAATAGAATGACAAAATCTTTTTTTTAAAAAAATTAACAATGACAATTTTAAAGCTAGTGGGACACATGAATTGCAAGCCATGGTATTGCATCAGCCTGTGGTGGTGGTACTTCAGCTGGGAAGGAAATACCTGCTTTTACTTTGTCAGTTTTATGGAAAATTAATCTTGGATTATGAAGGTTTTAAATTATGTGAGGCCTCCAGTAATGATATCCCCTAACATAAAATCTAACTGCCTTGTGTTTAAATTATTTTTCTTTCTCTTGGGGGCAGGGTGCTAAGTATGTCTAGTGGAATTCTCATAGTAATATAAATGTCCACATAATGTTAACTTCACAGTGTTTTATTATATTGATACATAACTAGTCCAGTAAGAACTGTTTCTTTATGCTACTGGCATTACCCTGTTCCCAACTTTTCTTTGAGGCTTTTGATTGAAGCAAGAATTATTACTGTAATACACGCTTAAGTCAGGAATATTGTGTTCTGTCAACATAGGGTAGCAACAACATAGAAAAAGACTGGTCAGGTTGAGATCACAAAATACAGTCTGTTGTTAAGCCTGGAATCAAACCACAGGAAAAGGGATTAGTGGCTCAAACCAGACAAAAGTTCAAGGAGTAACCATTTGTCAGATGTCAGGATTAACAGAAAGCCACAACTAGAACCCAAGTTGTCTTTAGACAGAGGGGCACTACAAAACGTGCATTAGATCAAACTTCAAGTATCAAGAATTGTGGACATTTCCCACCAACTATATTTAGATTTATTTTTCCAAAATGTCTCCATGGAACGCTAATTTTCTTTCATACACTTTTTAGGAAGGGACTCTGTGATCAAATAAGTTTGTAAAATAATACAGACTTTAACCTATTTGGCAGAGTGGCATGGAACATTTCCCTTTAAAAGATATGCCTAAATGTTTTCAATTCATTTAACCTAGAATTTCCCAAAGGTATTAGCTCATGGAATATTTTATTTAGCCATTTCCTCCATGAACATCCCACACAAACAGTTCTCCGAAAGAAAACCTGGCTTTGATGTCACCTTTTGTGATTCACACCTGGGCAGAAATTGTAAGTCAGGTAAAGGGACAGAGGGCGCTCAGGTCCTGACGTCAGTAAGGAGATACCTGAAGTTGTTTAAGACACGGAAGGATCCTGGTTACAGAAGAACT